CTGGCCGGATGGTCACACTCAAAGAGTCGTGGTAAATCACTTGATGTCCAAGTGGAGATCAGTGACAGGTGGTGTTCCTCAGGGGTTGGTAATGGGACTTGTGCTGTTTAAAATTTTTGTTGGTGACACGGACAGCGGGATTGAGAGCATCCTCGGCAGGTTTGCTGATGACACCAAGCTGTATGGTGTGGTCAACACACTAAAGGGAAGAGATGCCATCTAGAAGGACCTTGACAGGCGTGAGAGGTGGGCCAGTGCCAACCTCATGAAGTTCACTAAGGCCAGATACAACCTGAATTGGAGCAATCCCAAGCACAATTACATGGTGGGCAGAGAATGGATTGAGAGCAGCCCTGAGTAGAAGGACTTGTGGGTGATGGTGGATGAGAAGCTCAACATGAGCCCACAATGTGGGCTTGCAGCCCAGGAAGCCATTAATGTCCTGTTCTGCATCAAAAGAAGCATAACCGTCAAGTCAAGGGAGGTGATACTCTTCCTCTGCTCTTGTGAGACTGCACTTGGAGTATTGTGTCCAATTCTGGAGTTCTCAATGCAAGGAGGACATGGATTGAATTGAGTTGAGTCCAGAGGAGGGCCATGAAGATGATCGAAGGGCTGGAGCACTTCTGCTATGGAGACAGGCTGAGAGAGTTAGCGTTGTTCAACCTGGAGAAGAGAAGGCTCTGAGGAGACCTTATAGTGGCCTTGCATTGGCTGAAGGGGCTACAGGGAAGCTGGGGAGCCTGGCCCAGACAGTTAGTGTTGTTCCTAATGTCCTAAATGTTGACCAATTATTTATCTTGGTTTAGTTCCTATAGGTAACTCAAAGTGAATGTCTTTAGAATCAGTTTAACAAATGGGATGTAAGAGGAGCAGTCAGAGATGGCAAAGCAGGGAAACTAAATTAAGTCTTTGCATAATTAGTCCCTGGAAAAAGAAAGATTTCCATATGGTACCCTGCGGTGATGATGGTAGTAAAAGCAGATATTTCTGGAATTAAAATAACCGAAGAGGTTATGGGACGTATCTACAGGATGATCATTAGCAGGATCAGAAAGTATTCACAAAAGAATTCTCAAGAGAACTCCAGGATGAAAAAGATTAATTATTACTAAGAGTGGGTAACCTCCCCTTTGAAATTTTTGCTTTTGTACCTGAAGAGTGGGAGGTGGTAAACGTGGCACCAATCTTTTTAAAAAAAGCTTGTAGAATAAATGTTGATTAAAATATTATGCTTGCCTTTAGTAATGAAAAATTCAGCCTTACTAATCTCTTAGAGCTTTGGTGTGTTTGTTGGTTTTTCTGATAATGCTGACCCAGTTAACGTGCTGTGTGCATGATTTCCCAATGGTTTTAGTAGGGTCCCTCACCACTGACTTTTAAGAAGTTCAGCAGATGTGGGATATGAGAGAAGGGCCTGGTGTATTTAAAGAATTTGCTGAATGGTAGGGAAGAGTGTTGGAGATCTTTTGTCAGAGGGAGATCACCCGTGGGGTTCCATAAACATCTGTACTGGCTAACGTGTTTGTAAGCTCACGGTAAAAGGGGGTTGAGCAGCAAGGTAGTTAATTTTGGTGGTGGTACTAAGTTGTTTAAGTACTAAGTACTATTAAGTAGAAAAAAAAGACTGATTGGAGAGTTACTGAAGGTTGAGTGAATGTGTGTAGTGAGTGAATTAGTCTAGATAAATAGGAAGTGTTGAAGCTCTAAGTCCCTTCATATCCAGAAGACTAAATCGCAACTGCAGAAGACTGATACAAAGGAGACAAGAATCACCAGCAATACCATGGCTACATGAGAGTAGACTGGGAATTCTCAACCTGGAAAAGGCTTCCTGGGAAAGTATGAGAGAATTCTGGTAGGTCACATGTGGAGTGGACAGACAGGGACTCTCTTCCAATCTGACAATTAGGCCATGGAGCTAATAAAAGGCTGAAAGGGATCCTAACTTCAAAAAGGATCTGGTTCATTATGTTGTGAGTAGTAGCTGTGTGGAGCTTATTGCCAGGGAGTATTGTGGATGCAAGATGTCTACATTGTTCTGAGGAAATGAGCTGTACTGAAAGTAGTCAGAGACTGAGAAAATACAAAGGAGGACAGTATTGTACATGCTCTCTCACTTTTTTCTCTTCCTCAGGCAGCTGCTTATAGTGCTTGCTGGAGACAGAATACTGTGCTTCTTAGGCCACTATCTTGAAACAGTGCATAACATAAATGTCTAGAGTTTTAGTTTGTTGTTTGGTGTTTTTTTTCTGAAAAGGGTTTTGAGGACTAGGAGTTAAGTCTTTGTATTTAAAGAAGCTTTTTTCAAGGAAATTATCACTAGATACGCTCGTGTATGTCAGGTCATCATTTATAGGTTAATGAGAAGTATGTGGGGTCGAAAAAAGTGAGCCACTTCAAGTCATGTTTGAGGTATGACAAAATTTGCAAATGCATGAAGAAGACAGGATTAGATTTTGCAAGTTATTTTGAAGCAGTTTCTGGCTGGAGGCAATGAAAGGGTTCAACAAGGGAAATTATAAATACTGCCACACAATGCAGTTCTAAATTCATTGTAGATACATGATGTTGTATTTTAAAAAATAACTTATGTAATTGCGTGCCATTCAAAAAAATAGATTCATCTCACATAATGTTTATGAAAATTATTCTCGGATGAACTATTAAATTAATTGTGGAGATTAGCATTTTGTCATTAAGTGCATATTAAAAACAAAAAACAGCTCAGTGATATGTTCTGCATTCTTTGTGGGTTTAACTAGATACTTACTAACCTTCTGGTTTTCCTTTGTTTTTTCTAGGCTGCTTTTTATTTTGTGAAAATCAGGTTTTTCACAACATTTTCATAATTGAGTTCTATTGTTGACTTTAACTTTTCATAGGAATAAATGACAATAAATTAACATTTTAAGGCAACTTTGAGAGGAAGTTTTTAGAACTTCCAGCTACATAAACCAAGCTGACTGAACTGATTGTTCTTTGCCTAGGAGGAGCTATGGTCCTGACTTAAAAAAGTGGATTGTTGTTTTATTGATATTGGAAAGCAAGAGAGCATGACAAAAGTCACATTTATTTTCTACTTTTAAAATCTAGCTGAAAATATTGAATTTAAATAGAGTTTAGGAAGAACGACATTTTTTGTTTTGTATTCTTTTATTATAATTTTCTGAATAACATGTTGAATAATTTCTTTCAAGATAGTATAGCCCTTTTTAATTTGTTGAATATGCACACTGTTTGGATTGATTATATAAGTAGGCAAAATATGGCTTCCTTCTGAAAAACCTCTCTGTGCTGGTCAGTACATGAGAGTACATCTTGCTTTCATTGTTGTCAGGAAGCACCTGAGCCTCAGCAGTTACAACATGCTCCCTTTGGCCACTAGAACAGCATCCTTTCTGTATTGGCAGAGCAACCTGGCAGAAAATGCATCCCCATGCTATATTGAATTAATATGTTCTGGAGATGTTCTGGAGCATGTCAAATTAGTAATAATCAAATCTGGAGGTACCTGGGGAAGATAATTCTGGAAGTACATTCTCCTTTGAGGATGCCAAAGTCAAGTTCACAAACTTGCAGCATCACAGAAGTTGAGGTTGGAAGCCTCTGGAAATCATCTAGGTCACCTTCTCTACTCAGAGCAGGATCAACTAGAGTAGATTATCCAGGACCATGTTCAGTTGAGAGTAAAAAAAATGTTTTCTTATGTTCAGATGGAATTTTGTGGTTTTAAATTTTTGTCCATATCCACCTGTTCTGTCACAGAGCTCCAAGGAGAAGAGCTCGGTCTTCTTTTTACCCTCCCTTTAGGTATTTATATACATAGGTACAATCCTTCCTGATCCTGCTTTCCTCCAGGCTAAAAGGTTCTGTCTCTTTCAAACTCTCCTCTTAGGAGAAATGGTCCAGTCCCTTAATCATCTTCATGACTCTTCACTGGACTTTCTCATAGAATTACAGAATAACTGAAGTTGGAAGGGACCCAAGAAGGTCATTGAGTCCCTGCTTCTTGAAGGACTACCTAAATCTAAACCATATGACTAAGAGCATCATCCAGACACTCCTTAAACTCTGACAGGCTTCATGCCGTGACAACTTCTGCGAGGACCCTGCTTGAGTGACCAACCACCTTCTAAGTGAAGAACCTTTTCCTAATGTCCAGTGCTGCAGTATGTCCACATCTCTCTTGTACTGGGGAGGCTAGAACTGGACACAGTGCTCCAGGTGTGACTTCACCAGTGCTGAGCAGAGCTAAAGGATCACCTTCCTCAACTCACTAGCAACAGTGCTCCCAAAACAGCCCAGGCTGCTGTTGGCATTTTTTGCTGCAGGGCCACGTTGCTGGCTTGTGATCAACTTGGTGGCCAACAGGACCCCCAGACCAAGCTGTTTTCCAGCTCTTAGGCCCCAAGGATGCATCAGTATGTTGTGGTTCCTCACCGAGTGCTGGACTTTGCACTTGTCTTTCTTGAACTTCATGAAGTTCCTGTCAGCCCATTTCTCGAGCCTGTCAGGGTTCCTTTGGATGGCAACATGACCCTCTGGGATACCAGCCACTCCTTCCAGTTTTGTATCATCAGCAAGCTTGCTGAGGGTACACTCTGCCCCACCATCCAGATCATTAATGAAGATGTTGAACAGGGTTATTGGACTGATATCAAATTTGCACATAGTAATGTGCTATGATGTAGCACATTTAATGATGTATTTATTTATCACTTGTGATTTTGTCTGGGAACATTATTTCACATTTTGTGGCTCGAACAATATTTCCACTTTATGAGGTGCATTCTCACTGTAATAGCAATATATTAGAAGCTTTCTGGCCTTCTCCTCTTTGTGCCATTTTCTATTGCAATATTTTCCCCATTCTGCAACTTGCTTTACACTTTAAGGCAGAAGCTTGAAGTCTGATTCCCTTTGGAAACTAAGCTGTATGAGTAAATATTTTTTCTTGTGTGTATAGCTGCAAGAAATGCTGTTTTGAAGAAGAAAATATGCTGTATATGAACACCTTTCTGTCTTCATTCTCAGGTTTTGCTTCTCTGCCGGTGAAAGGGAGTTGCTGTTCATATTCTAGCCTGGCTTTCCAGACACGGTGTTCCATCTCTACCCCCTGGAATGTGACAATCAAGCAATGCAGAGAAAGCAGTTTCTTCAATTCGTGTAAGTCTTGACTTGGATTAGAGTTATTGTGTGTAGTAAACAGAAGAAGGAGAGAAACTTTTGCTTTGGAGAGTTGCAGTAATGAAAATCTAGGTGCAGGAGCTTTTTGTTTCTACTCTAGTTACGTCTCCTAAGATTGTACCTGCAGCTCCAGCTATTGACAGAAGAGTGTGCACAAGCCAGGGTCTGATTTATGTTGAAGTGAATCAGCCTAATATCCATCATTGGATGGAAGGGGGAGACACCTTCCCTTCTGTTTCCTAGTTCTTTAATGAGAATATAAATTGTGCATTTATTTTGCAAATGATTTTTGAGCCACACGCCAGACACACTGTTCAAGTTGTGCTGTCTCAAAAATGAAATAACTAAAATGCAAGAATGTGTTAAACAAAAACTGTTGATAATGTCCTGTTAATTGTCTGGCCAGCTGCAGGATTTTCCTGCAGTCCTGAAAGGAACTGCGCGCATGCTTGACATAACTGAGAAATGGTGGCTGTTTAAATTCATGCTTGAGACTATCAACTAAGCTAGCTGAGGGGCCATTCCACCTGTTGTGTGATTCCTTATCATGTCTCACCAGGGAAGAGAAGGAATAGGAAGATTCTAATCTCTGGAGGAGATAATTGGAGCAATTTGAGAGTCAAGGTTCTTTGACTGTTTTTGATCAGTAGCATATTAGACCCCTGCAAAATGAGGCTTTCGGAATTGGTGGTGTCTTCATATTCTTAACATCTGAGTGGCAGAATGCTGTATTTGATTTCTTTACATCTGTAAAGGAGATGGGGTTTAAGCACCCTTGTCAGATTTTAAACAACTGAGGGTAGAGACATTGACCTGTAAAAGGCTGCAGCATGAATCAGAGGCTGTGCATGGTAGAGGTTTTATAAGGATGCCAACTACAGGAAACATTCCTTTAGAACTTCTTAGACAGTCAAGCAGTTGCAAGGTAAGAATATGTAAAGGCTTAGCACTGTTGTTATTTTGTTGATACTAAATTTAAAATATAGCACTGCAAGTGATTGCAGTGTGATCACAATTTGTAGATTAGATGTTTCCTTAATTATGCTCATGTTAATATTCACGAAGTCTAGATGAGGTCTGTTTTACCAGGAATTTTCCCAGCTATCTTGGATAATTTGATGTAAAAAATATTTGCTAGATGACTGAATTAAAAATGTTTGTTGTGCTGACATCCCCGTTGTTTGACTTAATAAAAATTTAAACAAGTTATGTTTAGGCAAATGACCTTAAACTATTGGCTCAATTAATAAGATATACCAACTTGGAAGAATTTAAGTAGGCCTCCTTTATATGTTGAGTGGAGATAGTAGCCATCAGATTCAGAAGACTGAAGGGTTTATATTTCAAAGTACAGTTATTCTAAGAACAATTTCTTTAATCAAAGTAATAAATAAATAAATTCAAAATTCAAATTAAGTTGATACTAACAGTATAAATCACTCATATCCCCTAGTAGTGCAGTTGCTCCAGAAGTGATAACATTAAAGATGAAGATATGACCATTTTATGTGAAACACTTTTCAGCTGAAATGTCAACCAAATTACAGTTCTTTGTGTCTCAGAAAGGTGACTGTACTTTTTTACCTCATTAGTAAAGATGTACTTCTCTTCCATCACACTTCTAAAATAATAACATGCTCTTGTTAGTAGGGTTGTTTGTACCTTCAGCTTAACTATTAAAAATGGTTTAACTCATTTAAACAAAAGGAATTGGTTTAAATAAGAGGAACTGTGATTATCCTAGGCAGCCTGTGATCCTTACCAAGATAGTGCCTCCTGCAACTCTAACAGAAACATACACGGGGTTTATTCTTGTCTAATGACGTATTTTGGGGAGTTTGTAATCAAGTAATTTAAAATTATCTTGTTATTCCAGGCTTAGCTTCTGTCCCTCCCTCTCTTCCCCTTTCCATACTCCCACTGTGGGAAGCAGTTTGGTTTCCATTTATTTAACAATTTCACATGCTTATTTAGATGTGAAAGGGCCTGAGGTTTTTCACATCGTGTTTAAAAAGTGCATAACTTCCTTCTGAAAAGTCTTGCTGCCTTTTTCAATGTGTTTCAGTAGACCTAGTAGTTGCAGATAATGTCTTGCTTGTGCCTTTTTCAGTCCACCTTTTGTATGAAAGTTTAGGACAGAACTGTTTTCTTTCCTCTTGGTATGTTTACATGCTCTTACATGCAGGCACACAGACTGGGAAATCCCACCAATCCAGATTTTCTGTACAGATGTTTGAGCTCCACTTTGAGCTTGAGAAATATTGATAAAATGTGCTGTAGGTTTAATGGAAGAAGTATGTACATGCCTGATGAGGAAGATGCGAGATACAGTTTGTTTAAGTTTGATAGCCACAAAATTGGGTTGGAATAGATGGGCTCTTCTTTCAGAAGGTTAGCAGAGGCACACGGATGTGTCATGAAAACTAAAAGCATTTGGCTGTCTCCCAGCCATAGAAGTTATCTTTGACCCCAGTCATCCAAACCATCAAGCATAACTTTCTCAACATCCATGTCAGAGTGTCTGTGAGAATAAAGAAAGTTTATTTGATACTGGACTACATAAATATTTTGCTTTCCTATTTACTGTATTCATTCCATTTGCTACACTTGGGAACAGTTGAAAAGAACTGAATTTCTCTGTTGCTAAATGATACTTGTTCTTCAATTAGAATCCACAATAAGGAATATGATGATTTTTCAGAGGTTATAGAAGGAGATTGTAACAATCAAGGGAGAATCTTTTAGTCTAACTTTATAAAATCATGCTCAGAGTAACACGTTTTGTCTCTAGAGGCTTTGCTTACTGGACACATTTATACTCATTAGTAATCTCTGTGTTTGTGTTCCTTCTTGTAAACGGTTCCTGAAAGCCTGCTCCTTAATTACCTTGTATATTACATTTTTGTAGTCCTGTCTGAGATTTCTTTGGATTAAATTGTTATTTTTTTTTTCTACTGCGCTGAATTCGAGGATCAGAATGAAAAAAATATATTTTATTTTAAAATAATTTTTCTTCAAATGTGAACAATCCAGATAAACAATTACTAAGTTACCATTTGTCATTGTCAGTAGTAACATATGATGAATATTGGTGATTTTGTCATTAAGAGCTAAATATACAACTGCTTTTTTTTTTTCCTTTTACAAAGGAGATGCTTCTGTGTGCATGTGTGTTGAAGAATAGTTGGTTAATCGTTTTTAGTCACAAAAAGGGTATTTAATATTAAATTGTACTTGATTGTACTTAATGGGGGCCTACTTCCGGTTTTGATTTGTTGCTGTGCAGTGTAACTTTTATGAAGGCAATTGGCCTCTCTTTTTCATTTCAGTTTGAGGAAATAAACCAGGCCAGTGGTGGTTAGTTTGCAAGCCTCACTCAAATCTCTGTTCTCCATATCCAACTGGTGACACTGAGGCCAGCTTTGTAATATTTATTATTAAAAAAGAAAGCCACCAAACAAAAGCAAACTGCAAACAAAAGCTTTAATAATCAAAGTGACTTTCAAAGCATAGTAGCATTTACACCAGAATTTTTTACCTAAGTTGAGGTCCTGTTTTTTTAACAAGATGTTATGAAGAAAAAAATACAATTTCTCAGATGTTTGTCAGGATAATTTTGGTTCTTTGTTTAAGCTACCAAGTTTTTAGTCTGTTAATGTAGCTGGATTTATTCAGGATTTGAATAGTGATTAACCTCAAATTCCTGTGTCCTCAGCTTTCTGCTGACGTTGTGCTAATTTGCCAGTTTTAAAAATTGTGAAATTGTAATCCCAAGTGCACAGTAAAAGTGTGCTAAAGGTTTGTAGTTAAGTGGAGTTATTCACTGTGTCTATGTAGCAGTATGAATGCATTAATCAGAATATCTTCTAGCTCTATATTGCAGTTCCACAATTAGATACCACCTGCTGTCAAAATCAGTTTTGAGTGACTCAGAAGTGGGCTCTCTAGATTCAATGCTTTATATTCTTCACTACCTCCCAGGACTGAATAAAGGCCTTGTAGAGCTAACAAGTAATATCCTCAGATGATGACATCTGAAGAGAGTTGAGGCAGGGTTGCAAAGAAGAACATGTATTTTGCTCAAGCAGTCCTCTTTTTTAAGGCATTGCTTCTGGGGAGAGTTTTTTGTCTTCTCATTACCTTTAAGCAGAACACAGTATCAGATACCCATTTCATACACTTCCATTTAAAGAATAAGGGGTCCCTTTTGCAGCTGTAGAAAACAGTGTTTTGGGCATGGTCACTCAGGAAACCTGAGAGTAATGCAGCACATCATGTAATTTCTTATGGATCCGTGTTTTTGTCCTAGCAGACTGGGATTAGACAGGGAGTCAAGAACTCTGATGTCGCATGATGGCAGACAGTTACAGTTCAGAGGTAAAGGAGGTAGCAAGGGTGGTTCTCATTTGGAATGAACACACAGATTTTGTTGAAACTTTAGAATCTTGCATGTTACAAGTAATCCATCCAGTATCACTGTGCCATTGTTCCATTTTTCTCTTATAAATATATCTATTTGTATTCTCATCTGCACAATATTTGCTTTTTGAATTGTAGAGGAGAGGTCCCAACCTTTTAGAGGAATTACATAGATTCTGTAAGTATCATTAAACATACTCACAGAATTGTTCTTTTAAGATCATAAAGTCTAACCATAACCTAACTCTACCAACTATTAACCTAACTCTACCAAGTGCAGTACTAAAACCATGTACCTAAGCACCATATCTATACATCTTTTAAACACCTCCAGGGATAGTGATTCAACCACATCCCTGGGCAGCGTATTCCAGTGTTTAACTACCCTTTTTGTAAAGAAATTTCTTCTAATACCTCCCCTGGCACAACTTGAGCCCATTTGCTCTTCTTCTATTGCTTGTTCCTTGGGCGAAGACAGCAATCCTCACCTTGCTACAATCTCCTTTCAGGTAGTTGCAGAGAGCAGTAAGGTCTCTCTTCAGCCTCCTTTTCTGCAGGGT